TATTTTTTCATTCTGTCTGGTTATCAAGATTATATTAACTTCTTAAAATGAGTACAGGAGTATTTTTATTTTTTTGTAATTCTGGGTAAAAAAATATGCATGAAATTAGAATTATATGCACCTTGAATGTTTTATAGAATTTGTCTGTAAAACCATCTGCCCTAAGGTTATTTTTTTTAACTTTGTTTTTGTGAAAAGCATTTAAACTATTAATTCAACTTTTAAAAATAGCATAGCCCAGCGGGCGTGACTCAGTGGTTGAGCATCGACCTGGTATCCAGGGGATCAGGGTTCGATTCCCGGTCAGGGCACAGGCCCGGGTTGTGGGCTCGATCCCCAGGAGGGGGCGTGCAGGAGGCAGCCGATCAATGACTCTCCCATCATTGATGTTTCTATCTCTCTCTCTCCCTCTCCTTTCCTCTCTCTGAAATCAATAAAGATATATTTTTAAAAAAAAATACTATAAGTCAAGGTTTGTATTTCCTTTTGAGCCAATTTTGGTAAGATATATTTTCTAGGAATTTATCCATTTCATCAAAATTTTCAAATTTATTGTGATAAAATCATTCTTAATAGTTATTATTAGTTTTAAAAATCTGTGCTCTTTATCTGTATTTCCCTTCACATTTCCAACATTATATTTCCTGTCTTTTTCTTTACCTATTTATCAGTTTTGTTAGTGTTTTCGAATACTTTAATGGGTCTGTTTACTTTCAACTGCTGTTTAATTTTTGCTCTTTTATTTATTTTGTTCTGATACTCTTTTTAAGGTGACTCCACTGTTGCTTTTTCCACAGCTTCTTTTTCTAGTTCAACAGTTCTCATTAACTTTTAGCCTTTTTTCTCTTCTGGTATAAACATTTAAGTTCTAAACGATCCTCTCAAGGTCACTTAAGCTGCCCAGCACAATTTTGGATAAGAGATACTTTATTATCATTCAGTTATAAGTTTTTTTATATTTTCCACTATGATATTTCTTTTGACATTTAGTTTACATGAAAATATGCTTTCTAATTTTCAGAAGTGCAGGGATTTTTAGTTGTCTTTAAAAAAATCAACTTGTAATTTGTTTGCAATCTTCTACTTTCTTACCCAAATTTTATCTGCTTATTTAGACCTCCCCTGTAATATAGTTTGCTTAAATGCTGTTGTGACTCAGTTTTGAAGAGATCGGTCAATTCTTCCACACACACCCCCAATTGATTTTTAGAGAGAGTGGAAGGGAAGGAGGGAGGAGAGAGAGAGAGAGAGATGTGAGATTGGTTGCCTCCCGCAAGTGAGCCCACTGGGCCCAGAATGAACCTGCAACCCAGGGTGCATGCCCTTAACTGGGAATCAAACCTGCAACCCTTCCGTGCGTGGGCCGACGCTCTACCACTGAGCCACACCGGCCAGGGCAGTTCCTCTCTTTGAGCAGCTAGGTCCACACCACAGTCACTTCCTATAATAGCTTCTCATTTTCTGGGGCATCTGTGCACCAGCCCCTCTGCTCCAAGCCCATAAAATTACTCAGATTAGCCAATCAACAGAGAACCCACGAAAACTAACTAACCCCATCCTGCTCGCCATACATAAGCCGTTGTCTAGAGTGCCAGCTTGCTGTAACCCAGTGCTAGCCGGTCCCAGCGTACAACCCACTGTGGGCCCCCGCCTGGCAGCCTTCTCTCATTTTAAGCTGTGACAGGTCTGACACCACATCTTCGAAGCTTTCCCACCACTGCCATAGAGCTGAGTCCCTGAGCTCCTGAAGTTGATGGCTTGCAATGTCAGGTCTATTCTGGTCGCTGCGGACTGGTTTGGTGAAGTGCGGCCCGGGGGATGTACTTTGATGTCTTTGGTGTTAACACAAGGCTTGGTAACACCAGGAGGTGCTGTAATCTCAGGTTACTGCTTTCCCTCCGGGATGCCTGTGCTGTGCTGCCTGCCACCTTGGTTTGGGGGAGGGTTGCCCTGGGATATTTTTTGTTGGCCTGCTCCTGTTTAGTTAGATTTAAGAAACCCGGCCCAGTGGACCATGTTGTCCATGAAAATGTCAGGAGTGTAGGTGTTAGTCCTGACTGTGTCCCTGGCTGTGTTGCCTTGAGCACAGCACCTCCCCTCTCTAGGTTCTTACTTCCCCATCTACGAAATAGGCATTTCTAAAAACTTGATTCTTTTTAGGGGGTGGGGGTGCAGGGTATTGTTTAGTTTTGAACAATACTGGAGATAAAACCTATTTAGTGTTTCTCCAGGACAGTAACTTTATTACTTTGCAAACCTGAACACTGACCTCGGCAACTCGGACACCTGAGACCTGCTTTTAACCTGAACACTGACTCAGAAATCGAATGTGGCCCACTGAGTCCAAGTCCAGACATTTCCTGGACTCCTAGTTCTGGCTAAGGGAAATATGACAGGGAAATAACGAACAGCACCCTGATCCAGACTATAAAGATCATTTCTATGGCAGCCAGGCAGCTAAAAGGAAAGTTTTTACATTAGAAATGCAGCAAATAAATTATTTTTTACAAGTTTCTCTTTTTAAAAATTTACTTCATTTTTCTCCTTAATCTAGCAGAGAGTAAACCTTTCTAAGCTTTCAAGTTTTGGGAAATGAGTGACTAAGAGTCATTAAGAGTCATTTTGTGCTCCTTCTATAAAAAAGAAAAACCCCACTTGAACTCAGCACAGAGGGGTGAGACGTAGTTGGTGTTCACAGGAAGACACATGTCCCTCAAAGGCACCTGTCTGAGCACTGCTGCTTCAGCGAGCCTGGCACTGCCTCGCAGACCTTCCTGGGAGCCACCGTCAGAAGAGCAAGGTAAGAGGGGACGGTTGGGGCCTTGCAGGGCTTCAGGCCGTGTGCTGATCTCTGCCCAGGCGCGGGGACTTGGAAGCCCTGGGGGCTGCCGGCCACTCGCCCAGTCCCGTCACTCGGGCATCTCGGTCAGTCTGGTGCTCACTCTTGGCCCGCGTCTTGGAGGTCACACATGATGCGCCTGGACCCACACCCCGAGCTCTCATCGGAGGAGCCCTCATTTACGCACGCATCTGGCCTACATCCCCGCGCTCGGGATGCATGGACAATTTCCATGAGACGTACAGACTTCCCTGCTGCTTGCTTCTGTGAAGACTCCCAGGTCAAGAAAGACCACACAAGTCAGACTCCAGAATAATTCCAGTTACCGGCTGCGCTGACTTTTGTATGTTCTCCTGATAATTTCCTAACTCCTCGCCTCTCTGCTCTCTTTAATTTTCACCTGTAACATGGTGCCGACTAGAAGTGCTCTTCGCTTAAATAGAGTTGCTATTCATTTAGTACGTTTTGTGTGTTTTTCTGAGACCCTGAGATGCACCAGGGCTCCGGTTTGCAGGAGTAAACCGAAATCTTTTTCTCTCGAAACACAGAGTTTAGGTGTTTGGGTGTGTGGTGGTGACGGTGACGGTGACGGTGGGAGGGAGTAGCTGTGAATTACTGAACAGTGTGAAGGGTTTTAACAAGGAACCTCAGGGTGCCATTAAGGAGGCCACCGATGGATGCGGCCCTCTCACATCAATGTTTCTCTCTCTCCCCTGTCCCCTCTTTCTAAAATCAATGGAAACATACCCTTGGGTGAAGATTACAAAAGAAAGTAAGAGGAATGTAGTCAATAATACTGTAAATTACTATGTATGGGGCCAGACGGGTGCTTGAAATATCGGGAACCACTCTGTAAAGCATGTGGTTGTCTAACCGCGATGCTGTGCAACTGAAACTGATTCATATAATGCTGAGTGGAAACTGTACTTGAAGGAAAAAAGGAAGGAATCCAGGGGACTTGACCGGCCTTGAGTCAGGAAGCCCTCAGCCCTGGAGTGCTCGGGTTTACATGTGAACATGTATGTAAAACTTTAAGAAGGTTTTAACCCTTCATCTGCCGATTTAGATAGGAAGTGAGGCTGGTTGTGGAGGTTTTATCTCTGGCTCTGATGTGCCTTTTCTAGATCTGTCAGACTGATTCCCACTCTGGTAGGATTCAGTGAGCAGGACTGATTTTCATACATGGTTTTTATCAAAAGACCAAAAATGTCCCTCAGTGTACCCAGAAATCTATAGAGGGCAAAGCATGCAGGAGGAATTAGGATTTTTATGTGGCCCTGGCCAGTGTGGCTCATTTGGTTGGACCGTCATCCTGTACACCGAAGGGCTGCGGGTTTGATTCCTGGTCTGGGCACATACCTAGGTTGTGAGTTTGAACCCCGGTTGTGACTCTATTATCTATCTATCTATCTATCTATCTATCTATCTATCTATCTATCTATCTATCTATCTATCTATTATCTATCTATCTATCTATTATCTATCTATCTATCTATCTATCATCTATCATCATCATCTCTCTGTCTCTCCCTCTTCCCCTCTCTGAAGACCAATCAATATGACCTCAGGTAAGGATTAAAAAAATGAATTTTTATATCAAGGCAAGTGGCCAACCTAGTTTGTGTTTAGCTTAATGATCACCTAAGCAAATACTGAATTTGGGGAGTTACCATCTAAAGGAGTGACATGGGTGGGTTTTTAAATCTTTTTTTCCTTTCTGTTTTTCCATCAGAAAGGCCCTCAGTGCAGTGCTGTTGGGGATAGCAGCTGGTCTTTTCCTTCCTGCAGGAGATTTCCATAGCCCCAGACTATCTTTTAGAAATACATCCTTGAAAAATACCTCCTTGAAAAGGAGGTTGTGCTCTCCACACCTTACATATGCGAGAACTGAGGCTCCCAGCAGAGGGGTAAGAACAGCGGCAGAGCTGGCATCTGGAATCTGCCTGACCCCAAAGGGCAGGGTTATTTCATTGGGCTGCACTGCCCTCCGGGGAATGGAGCCCTTCAACTCGGGAAGGTTGGAAAGGAAGTAGCACGATCTGGGGCAAAATACTAGGCAGCTGTTCTCCGCGCTCAACACGGTTTCCATTTGGTTTTGTTCTTGCAGGAGCCCTGTTTGCTTTTCACATTCGCTTTTCCTGGCTGGCCCCAGACCTGCCCTGAGGAGCCCGTAGGTTTGAAAATGAACGCCACCGTCACAGCAGACACCACCGTGGATGAAAACATCTACAACAGTTACTATCAGGATGAAAACTTCCCCGCGCCTTGCAACAAACAAGGCGTCAAGGCATTTAAGGGGCTCGTCCTGCCTCCCCTCTACTTCTTGGTCTTTCTGTTTGGCCTGCTTGGAAACTCCGTGGTGGTTCTGGTCCTGTTCAAGTACAAGCGGCTCAGGTCCATGACCGACGTGTACCTGCTCAACCTTGCCATCTCGGACCTGCTCTTCGTGTTCTCCCTCCCTTTCTGGGCCTACTACTCGGCAGACCAGTGGGTTTTTGGACTAGGCCTCTGCAAGATTATCTCCTGGATATACCTGGTGGGCTTTTACAGCGGCATATTCTTCATCATGCTCATGAGCATAGATAGATACCTGGCGATCGTGCACGCGGTGCTTTCCTTGAGAGCGAGGACCGTGACTTACGGGGTCATCACCAGCGTGGTCACGTGGCTGGTGGCCGTCTTTGTCTCCCTCCCAGGCCTTATATTCAGCACTTGTTTCACAGAGGACAACCACATCTACTGCAAAACCAAGTACTCGTTGAACTTCAGACAGTGGAAGGTTCTGAGCTCCCTGGAGATCAACATCCTGGGCTTGGTGATCCCCTTGGGCATCATGCTGTTTTGCTACTCCATGATCATCAGGACCCTGCAGCACTGTAAAAACGAGAAGAAGAGCAAGGCAGTGAAGATGATCCTCGCCGTGGTGGTCCTCTTCCTGGGGTTCTGGACCCCGTACAACGTAGTGCTCTTCCTGGAGACCCTGGTGGAGCTGGAGGTCCTCCAGGACTGCGCCTTTGAAAGACACCTGGACTATGCCATTCAGACCACAGAGGCCCTGGCTTTTGTTCACTGCTGCCTCAATCCAGTCATCTACTTCTTCCTGGGGGAGAAATTTCGCAAGTACATCATCCACCTCTTCAAAACCTGCAAAGTCTCTTTTGTGCTCTGCCAATACTGCAGGCTCCTCCAGATTTACTCCCCCGACACCCCCAGCTCATCTTACACGCAGTCCACAGTGGACCACGAGCTCCACGACGCTCTGTGAAAAACAGAAATGCAGAAAAGCCAGAGTTAATAAACTGCCCGAGTTAAGAGCTTCCCTAAAGTTGTATGATAGTAAGAGTTCCCCGAGCAAGTGTCAGGGAGATGGACGTCCACTGCGGAAGGTGGAGCTTCTCACCCTGTGGTCAGCTTTCCCCTCACCACGTACAAGTTCAATGCCTGGGCTCCCGTCCTCGCACCAGGCTGGCCTGCGCCATAAGTAAGCCCGAGGAGGATTCTGAGCAGTGTTTCAGAGGTTAGAGGTCATGTTGGGAGACCATCCCCTTCTCACCTGAACAGATGGGGTTCTCCTGCGGGAACTGAAGGGAGCTGACTAGTGGAGAAATCGCTCTTTCCTGCGGTGGAAGATGGGCCCTTTAATTAACTTCTAGCTTTTGCGGGACAATATAGAAAACTTTAACGGGCTGTGCCAGTGTTTTCTCTGAGACTGTATCTGAAGCCAGGTGTGTGCGGAAATGAACAGTGAAGTAATGATTCTTGGAATGTAAAGGGTTATTTGTTAATGGAAACCAAACTTTTTATGCTGATTGCAAGTAGAAGGACATTAAGGCATTAGCGTGGCCTGATTTCCAAACATGAGATTCAAGGCATTAAAAAATTCATACATACTTGGGGAAATTCAAATGCTTTGTTTTAATTGTAACAGATGAATATTCAGATTTAAAAAATAATACATAGTCCCTGATACGTTTATTTGCGGTCTTTTATTTGTTAAAGAGTGCCTACTAAACTAAACTAAACTAAACTAAACTAAACTAAACTAAACTAAACTAAACTAAACTAAAAACTAACCTAAACTAAACAGCGCTTACCACCAAAGGAGGCAAGAATAAGCAACTAAAACTTACTGATGTGACCTAAAAATGACTGTCAAAAACTTATGAAATTGTCAAGTGTCATCCCCTCTTTTAAAATAGTGGCCCTGGTTTTTAAATTTCACATGACTTGAAGGTTCAGTCTTTTCTTATGTCATTTGAATCATGTAATTAATCATTTCACACCATGGAGAGAAATCTCTGTTCTTATAATCTTAATTAACCGCAATTTTGTAAAGACTTGAAAGAAGCCTGGGCATCCCTGTCAGGGAGGGATATTCAGCCCCTCCAAAAACAAAAGTCTGTCTTGCAAACCACGAGTCCCAACCGCTTGCGTCAGTCTACACCTTATCGCACTCTCCACGTGTAGAAAGAACGCGTTTCCAGAAAACTGATTTTCCGAAAAGTGATTTGAAAACGGTACGTTGATGTTGCCTTAATGGAAAAAACTAAAATAAACGTGTATATAGTCCCACAGAGCCTTTTTTCCTGGTCATGTTCGTGTTTGATCTGATGCGAGGGGAGGCCGAGGTGCTGAGGTCCCCGTTGCCCCACATCAGCTACGTGCTGCAGATGACAGGGACGTACCCAAGGGGGGATCGAGGGGTGGCTGTGGAGCTCTCCACTTGGGGTGTGGAATGGAGTTGCCATGGTTCAGGGCACTTGGAGGCCAGAGTGGATAAGAAGCGAGGGACGGGACAGGCTCCCAGGCAGTGTCCTTAGGAAACCTCTGCGCGGCGCGCTAGGACCTGCCAGACCCCGGCCTTGCGTTCCCCGGGGAGCCTGAGCGCCGTCCTCTCCTCCCTTAGCCTCCGTTTCCCCTGATCTCCGCAGCAGAACACAGTCAGAAGGACTGAAAGACAGACAGAAGACGGTTAATGCGAAGCACCTGTGCTCCCAGGTCGTGGCTAAAGGTGGCCTTAGGTTAGCCCTGCCAGGGGCCGCCTCCCCTTTCCCGGTGGAGCTCGTGACTTTATCCATTTAATCGCAGAGATTTCAGGACGCCAAAAGGCAAAGACTGGACAAAGGGTTTTTACTGGCCCTTCACTCCCATCACACACAGCGCTAAGCAGGGGTCAGGTGCGGACCACGCAGTTCCTAGCCCTCCACCTGGGGTGGGGCCATGCATCACCTCAAGTCCCTCAGGGCTTCCCGTCTTCCAAAGCTGGGGGATATGTCCTCAGGATGGGACTGTAGGACCTCTAGTGACACCCGAACACGACCCTCTCGGAACACTGAAAAGGAAGTTCCTTCCTATTCAGTAACAGAAACATGGGAAAGCCAGCCAGCGTGATTTCTACACAAAGGTGGGTTAAACTATTAATTTTTCGGAGGTTAGATCCATTCCTTTCTTGTTGCAACATACCTCGCTTCTGGAAGACCAGGTATAATTGGTTTAAGGACAATAGAAACAGGTTGGCTTTGGGGTGATGTAAATGTTTTGGAACTAGATAGAAGTGCTGGCTGCACAACATTGTGAATGTGCTAAATGCCACCAAATGGCACATTTTTATTTATTTATTTATTTAAAATATATCTTTATTGATTTCAGAGAGAGGAAAGGAGAGGGAGAGAGAAAGGAGAAACATCAATGATGAGAGAGTCACTGATCGGCTGCCTCCTGCACGCCCCCAACTGCAGATTGAGCCTGCAACCCGGGCCTGTGCCCTGACCGGGAATCGAACCCTGATTGCCTGGATCCTAGGTCGATGCTCAACCGCTGAGCCATGTCCAGCCGGGCTATTTTTTATTTTATTTTAATTTTTATTATTTTTAAAATATATCTTTATTGATTTCAGAGAGAGGAAAGGAGATGGAGAGAGAGAGATATAGAAACATCAATGATGAGAGTCATTGATCGGCTGCAGCCCGCAACCCGGGCATGTGCCCTGACCGGGAATAGAACCCCAATTGCCTGGATCCTAGGTCGACGCTCAGCCACTGAGCCACGCCTGGCCGGGCAAGGCTATTTTTATTTAAAAAAAAAGTGTTTTCATTGATTTTGGGGAGAGGAAGAGAGAGGGAGAGAGAAACATCAATGATGAGAGAGAATCACTGATCAGCTGTCTCCTGCACAGCCCCCCACTGGGGATCGAGCCCACCACCCGAGTATTTGCTCTGACCGGGAATCGAACCATGACCTCCAGGTTTCTGGGTCAACGCTCAACCACCGAACCACACCGGAAGGGCCTAATTGTACATTTTAAAATGATTAGTTTTATATTATGTGAATTTTTCCATAATAACACCACCAGTAACAACAATAACAGTAATAGGAAGTAGCCCTAGTAGTATCTGTCTCATTGTAAGCACCCAGATGATACCGAATAAATATAATGTTTCCCATGAGAAGGAAAAATACAGGGTGATGCCAAAGGGTATTCAGACCTTTAGGGAGATTTTTCCTAAGAAGCTCTCATAGCAGTTTGGAACATTTGCTATAATTCCGATTTGTTGAATGTCTGTTTTATGCCAAACAGAGTATGAGGCTATGGAGAGAACCGGGTAAAGAAGCAAGTTCTGCACTCATTGAGTTTACGGTCTGATAAAGGAAAACTCCAACGCAAGGTCAGCTATAGTGCAAGCAGGGCAGATGCGGTAAAAGAATTAGGAACAACCACCCCAGAGGAAGGGAAAATGGATTGTTTCAACGTTTTATAATACAGTTGGCTTTCGAAGTAGGCCTTGTTAAAGGAGCTTGGTTTTGGTGAATGGAAGGGAAGAAGGACATTCTGGACCGATGAAACAGCATATGAAAAGGCAGGGTGGCCTCAGAGCACACTGTGTGTTCAGAGAGTGGTGAGTAGGTTTTTGTAGTTAAAGCGAATATGTTGGGGGTGGGGAGAAGCAAAGTAGGGAAAGATGAGAGAGACCACAGAAAAATCATAGAGCCAAGAGGCTGCAGTTCTGAGCTCCTGAGTCAGCTGCAGCCCATATTAGGCTTGAGAAGACGGTGAGTGGGTGCTGAGGTGCGCTGTCCATAGCCCGCTGTTAGGACCGGAGCACTCGTTCTGCAGCTACCGGGAGCACTGACACATGACAGCTCTCCCTCGTCTCCTTTCGGGACTGTCCTCCCTGGGCACAGCTCACGTCCAGTGACTAGACAGTGACCGGAAACAAAACACTTAACTTCCTTGCCTTAATCTGGAACAACTCTGAAGAGCCATTCAACTCCAGAGCTCCCCATAACATTAGGGGAGACCTCTGTTGTAACTGCCCTGCGGTTCAACTTTGCCTGCTGTCTGGTTCTGCCCCCTTCATGCCCTTATAGGTGCTGCTCCCAAGAGGGCTCCCCATCAAGTCTCCTGGATGCCGATCTCCGAGTCTCAGAGTCTGATTCCAGGAACCCCAACCTAAAATGGGATTTTTGGATCACATAGGGGACAATTGAACACCTAATATAAATGGAATGTGACCTCGATCTTTGCATCGGGGATGTCCTTCACTCATTGCCCTCTGGCCATCAACCCCAAATTTTCTCTTGGTTCCTATGCTTCTATTAGTCAGTCTCACCTTTGCTCCCATAATTTGCCTGCCTCAAGCCCTGAGGCATCATCCCTACTCCACTCTTTCTGTCCTGTCTACCTCTGGCTGAGCCTCAGTCACCTGACATCCTATGTCACTCACCCGTTAGTGACTTCCTCGCCTTAAGTGAACCAGACACAGCTCCAGCCATTTTTGGGGTCATATTACTATACTCCCTAAAAGTTTATAATGGGTCCAGATTTCCCTTTCAGACAATCAGAAAGTCACTATATTGAAACTCATATATTGAAACTAATTTCAGCCTCTTCTTAAAGTAGATTAATTTGGTTTTATTACCCCCAAGAAACAGGTCCAGGGGAAACACGATTCTAATCATAAATTAGATGAACTCCTAACTGCCTAGCACAAAGCAGTTCTTCAATTGTTCTCTTTACTGAATGAGTGAATTTCCTTATCTCTTAATCAAGTTCTCTACACCAGCAATTCAAGTTTCTATTTCACCACGAAAAGTTCACCAGTCCTCTCTCCAAAATCCCCATTATGTTTCTAATAAAACTTTATGTGACAGAGTTCAAAGATTGAACTGCCCCCTATTCCAGAAATTAGTGGGCGGTCTTTGGGTCAAAAATTACTTCATTAAGACTTTTGGTATGAACATAGCTGCAGAAGTCTGCATTTTCATCTCCTCTGGGAAACTGTAAAGTAAC